CTCAGATGAGGGCCGGTGGGACTCGAACCCACTCAGACCCTCTCAGATGAGGGCCGGTGGGACTCGAACCCACTCAGACCCTCCAGATGAGAGCCGGTGGGACTCGAACCCACTCAGACCCTCTCAGCCTGGAGACGGCTCTCCGGCCCAGCAGAACAGAAGTCCAGGTCCGTCAACCCCTTCTTACTTTCTGCCAAATTCAGATGACTTGATCAAGTCTCAGGTTGCAAACAGAACAGACACAGAAGCGCACAACAGACAAGACAGATACATACAACAGAAAAGACGGCTGGCCAGCTTACCTCCCGAAGGTGGGTCGTTGGTCCCTGGGTGGGGGGTCTCAGATCTCGCTGGGGCCTCCAAATGAAAGATCCCCGGAGGGTATCTTCCGTCAGAGAGACCCCCTCCCAAGGATCAACGAGTCCATTCGGATGCAAACAGCAAGAGGCTTTTATTTTGATACTCAGGTACCCGGGGCAAAAAGTCTTTCGGAAGACTTCCGCGCCCCCTAGATGGGAAGCTGGGGTTTTTATAGGGTTTTAGAGGCAGAAACACTGGTACAGAAACGAGAGGGCATGGTTACAGGGGGCTGATTGGTACGTTTACACGAGACCACAATTTGCGTCAAAGTTTGGCAGGGGCACCAAGATTCTAGGAACTGGGTGGTCAAGGGGGGTAGGATGACCCCTTGACGTGGCCCGCCACCTGTTATTTTGTTTTTCCCTATCTTAGCTGAAACAGTCTCACAGATATCTATGAGAGTGAATAACACAAACTGTCATTCCCCCATTTTCTTTTAACTTAGAATGGAATCTTCCATTCTCGGGCCTAGGAAGAGTTAAATTCTGTCCCCTGCTGTTTGAGCTGATGATACTGCTGGGTCAACACCAACATTTGTACGACAGAGAACCGGTCTTTTATGAACTGGATCAGCCAATTTAGAATACAAGGCCCAACTAGTAGAATCAAGAGAATTATGATTAGGGGGCCCATGAGGGAGGAAACGAGGGTGGTGAACCAGGGGGACTGACTAAACCATCTCTTGTACCAGCTCTGTCCTGACTCAAAGAATTGTTGTCTCTGTCTGAGTCTTTTTCTGAGTTTAGCCATGTTATCTCTTATCAATTTAGTATGGTCAGCAGCTAAGCAGATGTTTAAGATAATAGCTAATGTCAGGGAGCCACTTTTGACTTAGCATTTCAGCCTGTTAGGGGGGGATTTGGGCGGAGATCCGTCTTCTGTAGCTTCTTCATGCTGACCGTTGGACGTAGGCATCAGGGACTGGGGAGGCTGAAATGCCAGTCAAAAGCTGGGCAATAGGGCAGTCCCAAGCATCTGGTCAGTTGATCCACCGGAAGAGGCAGGGAGCAGTCAGGTCAGTTTCTAGGAAGTCCAGATCTCAGCTTGCAGTCTATAGCTGATCCCAGAACAGAGTTGAACAGGTGAAAATCTGCTGAGACAAATTTAGACTGGAGACAGAAGTTAAAATTTATCTATTAAATTGGAAAGATTAGGGAAAACCTCATCTGTGATCCTTTTGAGCTATGTCAGATCCAGGTCAAATCCTGAAACTTATATGAAATTTTTAGTACACAAAAGGAAATGTATAATTTTAAATACTCAGAAAAGTAACATATCAGCAAATTGAACATCTTGAGAGTAACAGGTAAAACTGCATCCCACTGAATAAGTATCAGTTGTTTGTTTTATAACCTTTTTTCTGTGGGCATAGCTGTTGGTAATTAGCCACGAATGAAGCTTGGCCATTTTTTTTTTTACTCAGCATCTTTTAGTCCCTATCTCTATGTTTATATTGGAAAGTTAGGCAGAAACACATTACTGGCTTTAGTGTTAAACCCTGGATGCTTGATTTTTTTTATTTCTGTGTCAAAATCTATCTCAGAAATGGCAGATATTAAGAATATCATACTAAAAGCTATGACTTTTGGGTCAGATATATACATTAAACAGATGTTTTTAACATGATGAGAAGTACCTTTAAGTCTTTAAGTCTATCTCCAGAAGCCAATCAAAGGAAATTAAATCTCAACCTGGTGACTGAATAATAAGCAGTCAGTGCTCTATCAACTTATCAGAACTCTATTAATAAATGTCAAAACTCTGAACTTTGGAAATCTCATAACATAAGCACAACAGTAGCAAAGAGGGGGGAGAGATCTAAAGTATCTCTCAATTTTAACATGTTTTAAACTATTTTTATCAACTTAGACACTCTAATTTTTTTTTTTTGTATTTATCAACCCTGAAACAATTTTTTCAGACCAAATAATAACATTTTAGATTTTATAACCTAAACTCTTATATCTTTAGACTCTATATAGGCTCCGTATTATTTTTATTTTTTTTTTTTTAGCTATATCTTTAGACACAGATGACTAACATGAATTCTGTGAGCAAGGGAAACCTGTCCTTTTTTCTAAATAAGAGATCTAGTACCCAGTAGTTTTAGCTAATTTAGCTAATGAACTGATCAATGAACTAACAGTGGATCTAATTGTCTTTTCTCTAGCTGTAAAGCTATCGTAAGCTTAGCATAGCCATCAAGGTGTTCAGAGACCTGAGAAGGATAAATTATAAGCTAAATAAATATATCAATCTATGTGTTTATCAAAATGACAGAGATGACTACTTAGTCCATCACCTAGGCAGTGTCCCTCGCTCTTGTCTCATGGCATCCTGAACAGAGGCTGTCCAGCCAGGCACAGAAGGTGAGAGACTGCTTTTACTGCTTCTGTGGAAAGAGGAACAGAAGAGATTGACCTCACCTTGCCTCTCACAATGTGAGACAATGGCTCCTCAGATGTCCCCGGCTTTGTCCACAGCTTAGGCTGGGCCCTAGCAGTGGGCCAGTTGAGGCAATATTGCCCAGTGGTTAGCATACCACAATCCAGAGTCGCAGTCATCTGTCGTTGTGCCCAAATCTTCTCGGAGACCTTGGGGGAGCTACTGCCAGGATTTCAGGACTTTCTGTCACAATAAGCTTACACAGTTAAAATGCCATATTCATCAGATCTCTGACAAGCCTGAGGGCCAGCATATCTGAGTTACTCTTTGTCTATCTTTATTATCTGTTTTAAACTGTATAAAAGAAAAACTAAACAAAGACACTAGGTGTAGCCAACTGTAGTTGTTAGTATAACTTTAAATCTGTTCTTTCTGAACTAAAATTAAAGCAAATCTTTTAATCAGACATAGTTCATAGAGAGCCTAGCAAATCTTGTTGTTCCTATCACTTGCATTAAAATTGAACAGTAAAAAGCTTTGTATTTAGTACTAATCAGATGACTGAACATAACTGAGATACCTGAACAAAAATGATCACAAACTCATGGCTCTATCCTCTTTCTCTGGACTAGCATGGCGGCTAACCACGTGTAAGGCTACCACAGGCTGTGACTGACAATATCAAACATAGCTATTAGGTGCTGATGATGATACAGCAAACATTGTGGAGCATTTATAATCCCCCACAACCAACATTTTTAACTTAGTGATTAAATAAGTTTTAGAACCAACTGCATAACAGAACAGTACAGAACAATTTTAAACTGTATGAATTATTTTAGCCATACCAAACCTATCAGCCAGAATTTTTTCCTTTAAAGAGCCTAAGAAAACATTTTGTAATGAGGAATTACCAGCCTTTTAAATGAACTATAACATATTTAAAATACAGTTTTTTTTTTTTCTCAAATCATATTAACTCTCTGGCTTTTTATAATACATCCACTAACCTTTTGCAACATCCACTAACCTTCTGCAACATACACTAACCTTCTGCAACATACACTAACCTTCTGCAACATACACTAACCTTCTGCAACATACATTAACCTTCAGGTTTCTAGCTTTCTTTTTCTGGCTTAACCAGACATTCTTTTTATAAACTCTCATCAAAATCTTTTCTATCCTAACATGATCCTGCTGGAGCCCTGCGTCCACAAGACCAGGGTTGTAACAAGGCAGCTTAACAAACAAACAGCTCTCCATAAGATACATTTTAAAAACTGTAATTTTTTTCAATTAGCACAAACCATACGGCTGGGTTTTATTTAATAAAATTGATAAAATAAATATCAAAGTATTTTTATTCTCTTTTAAAGGATCGAGAAACTTTTAAATTTTGTCAGATTACCCAAGATCATTGTCATACCCAAATGCCTGATAAACTTTAAATATTTTATAGCCTTAAACATTTAAACAATTTTTTAAAACTCGTCCCTGCAATATCAAAGCAAAGTATTTTCTTTAGGAGTGAATTTACAAAGCATAACCATAATTTTAAAGTCAAAACCAGATAAAAGTTTAAACCAGATTTTAAGACCAAAATTTATCAGTGAAAACAACCCAATCTTAAGAACCAATATCAACTTAGAACAAGACCTTCTTCTTATCTTAAGAGGAAATAAAATCATTTTGACTCAGAGATTTTGTAACCTTTGTTCTTTTTCTGAGCCACATCATGTGGCAATTTATATTGTTGTTATTTAAACATATGTATTCATAGACCCTACAAACACATAGGCACATATACGTGTTTTAAACAAGGATTTGAATTTAACCTTAAAACATACCCAATTATTTTTGATCATATCAACCATTTAAAACCAATTGAAAACAATCATCCTAAATTACTGTTTGATCTGTAAGTTGCAAGCCCCCTATGTGGGAGGAGGGAAGAGAGGAGCAAGAGGGCGTGGTGAGCTCCTGCTGCTCTCTTTCCCCCTCACTGCTGAGCTGGCATGAAGGCAAGGGGAGGAGTTTTTCTTTATTTTCTGCAGCCAGAGCAGCTCCTGTCGTGGAGCAGCTAAGGTGCCAATCCCCGCCTAAGGACTTTTACCTAGCAAGCCCACGAGCCTTGCCTGTTCTCTTGGCTCCCTGTGAGCTTCACTCTAGCTTACCTCCCCCGCAGGTCATGAACCTGCTTTCTGGCCGGGCCCCTCCTGAACACTGCAGGCAGCTCTTGGAGCGTCCAGCCGCGCCGCCCCACCTCCCCTCCGAGCGGGGGGGGGGGGGGGGGGGGGGAGGCGATCTTCCACCCCTTCCTCTCGGGGCTGCAGAGCCCGTGCCCTGCTGGTTGTACATTGTTATTTCACAGACTCCCAAGTGTCCGAGCACCGCCCGCTCAAGCTCCAGCTCCACGTCTCCCCAGCCACCTGAAAGCATTTTCTCCTCGGCTCCTTCGGGAGGGAGAGCACACTGCTTGGTGTCCTGTCATGCAGCCGTGTACACTCCCCAGCTCCGGAGCCGAGAACTAGTTTCAATTTCAACTGTCCTCTGTCCGAACTCTCATCAGTCCAAGTCCACAAAGAAACAGACACAGAAAAACACATACATACATGAGAAACACAGGATTTAAACAGACAAAACACGACACAAGCCGCGCGGCACGAAGCAAAACTGAAAGCAAAAATTCAGATGGAGACTGTGTTGGAGATTCGTCTCCCAGACGGGGAGCCAACAAATTGGCCCCCACTCAGATGAGGGCCGGTGGGACTCGAACCCACTCAGACCCTCTCAGATGAGGGCCGGTGGGACTCGAACCCACTCAGACCCTC